TGCTGTCAGGTAAACATGACAAAAACCTATTCACATCTACCTGCCTTACTTTGTTCACATTCGATCATTGTCTGAGAACATCTGTCAGTACAGCTGCATGAAGGAAACAGGATATGGGAAAATATGTCCAGACTGTCCATTTTTGAAATTCCTTTCTAAAAATATGATCACTCGTCCCCTGGAATACATTAATCATATACCACTGGTTCTCTAGAAAATACACATTTTAAAAAGTCCTCTAATTCATAATTGTTAGAGAAATATTTGTACTTCCTTTGCACAGTAATTAAGAAATATTTTCTTCAAGGTACATTTTATTTATAAACTCCTTAGAGGCAAAAATAATGTTTATTCATTCATACACTTTCATAGCAACCAGGTCAGGCCCTCAGCATAGTATGAGTTTCCATAAATATTTCTTTTTTTTTTTTTTTCATAAATATTTCTTAAGTTGTTCTGTCTGCTTAGAGCTGGAGTGGAAGATAAGTAAGCCAAGGTTCCTATCTTCAAGGAATGACTCACACACTATAAACAGCCTTGTTATAGCACAATGTGTTAATATAAATGTATGGACAATGCACACGCGAGCATGAGAAAGAGAGAGGTGGCCAAGAGATCTTTAAAGAAATGTGACATTTTAGTCTACAGACAAATAAGAACTCACTATGCACAAAAGAAGTAGACAAAGAAAACATGATGTGTAGTCCAACGTGTACAGCACCCAGCGGGTGCTGAAGTGGTGGAAGGTGGAAGGAAAATGGGGCCAGTCGGTAACGGTCTTGCGTTCTCCACCAAAGTATTTAGATTTTATCTTCTAGACAACAGTCTCCAAAGTGGGGGGCACCCACTGCAGAGCATATGCAAACTGATCCAGGGAAAAATCAAAACATCTATCTCTATTTATATTTTCTCATCTCCTTTTTGAGTGTTCATTGAGTATATATATATTCATGTGTAATTTACAAAGAAAAATATACAAATTGGGTCCATATTCAGAATTTTTCATGATGTAGTACACAATCAAAAGATATGAAGACCCAGGCAATAAGTTATCATTAAAGGGTTTTTTAAAGGAGTAACAGTATCAGACCTGTATTATGCAGAGACAGCATTAAGGTACATGCAGATGATACTTTAACAGGGAAAAGGAGAAATATTTTTTTCCAGCTTTGTTGAAATATTGACATATAAGTAAGCTTAAGGTTTACAATGTGACGATTTAACACTTGTATATATTATAAAATTATTTAACAAGGTTAGTTAATATCTCCATCCCCTCACATAATTGCCTGTGTGTATATATTGATAATATTTAAGATTTATTCTCTTAACTTTCAAGTATACAGTACAGTACTGTTAATTATAGTCACCATGATATACATTAGGTCCCTTGAACTTATTTATCTTCTAACTGGGAGTTTGTACCCTTTGACTGACATCTCTCCATTTTCCTCACCCCACTGCCAGCCCTTGGCAACCACCAATCTACTCTCTATATCCGAGTTCAGCTTTTAAATTTCAAATATAAGTGAAAACATACAAAATTTGTCTTTCTCTGTCTGACTTACCTCACCAAGCATGTCCTCAAGATCCATCTATGGTCTCACAAAAGGCAAGCTTCCCTTTTCTATATATCTGAATAATATTCCATTATATTTTCTTTATCCATTCATTTGTTGATGGACACTTAGGTTGTTTCCATATCTTGGCTATCGTGAATAATGCTACAGTGAACATGGGAGTGCAAACTTTTCTTTAAGACCCTGACTTCCTTAAGATATATATCCAGCAGTGGAATTGCTGGATCATACAGTAGTTCTAGTTCTAATTTTTGAGGAAAAACACTGTTTTCCATAGTGGCTGCAACAATTTACACTCACATCAACAGCTTCGCCAACATCTGTTATCTTTTGCTTTTTGACAACAGACTTTCTAACAGGTATGAAGTGATATCTAGTGGTTTTGATTTGTATTTCCCTGTAATTAGTGATGTTGAGTATCTTTTCATGTATCTATATATGTCTTTACCATATATATGTCTTCTGTGGAAAAAAGTCAACTCAAATCCTTTACCCATTTTTTAATCAGACTGTTTGGTTTTATGCTATTGAGTTGTATGAGTTCTTTTACTTATTATGGATATTAACCCCTTATCAAATAGGTTGTTTGCAAATGTTTTCTCCCACTCTTTTTATTTTGCTGACTGTATCTTTTGCTGTACAGAAGCTTTTTATTTTAATGTAGCGCCACCTGTTTATTTTTTATGTTGTTGCTTATACTTTGGGTGTCATGTCCAAAACACCATTGCCAAGACCAATGTGAAAGAGCTTTTATCCTGTGTTCTCTTCTAAGAGGTTTTACAGTTTCAGGTCTCACATTTAAGTCTTTAATGTATTTTGAGTTAATTTTTGTAAATGATGTAAGATAGGGGTCCAATTTCATTCTTCTGCATATAGTTATCCAGTTTTTACAACACCAGTTTTGAAATGGCTACCCTTGACTCATTGAGTATTACTGACACCCTTATCAAATATTAGTTGACCTTATAAGTGGGGGTTTATTTCTGGGCTTTCGATTCTGTTCCATAGGTCTATGTCTTCATTTTTATGCCAGTACTATAATGTTTTGAGAACTATAGCTTTGTAATAAGGTTTGAAATCAAGAATTGTGATGCCAGAAAAGAAGTATTATAAGGAAAATCAATATTCTTAAAGAGAAACCTTATACTCAATAGAAATTTTCCTACAAATCCTATCTTTTTAAAATATTTTAACACTCCTCCTTGAATAATTACATTAGGTCATTGTTTGAAGTCAGGCTGAATGGTAGTACCTAAAGTTTTAGTGTCTCTCCTTTGCAAAAATCTATTGGCTGAGCAAGTATTTGGCCTAACACTCTATATAAGTTACAAAGATAATTTGAGAAAAAAATGATCATTGGAACTGAACTTTACAGAATTCTGTAAGGACAAGATCTCCAAAATGGTGGAATATATAATAATTTGATACAATTTAAAGAAAATAGTTGCTAAATCCTAGAGATTCAAAACCATAAAATGACTAAGAATTCTGAAATTAACCCAAAGAAATAAACTCTCAGATGATTAATTGTCAAGTTTGGTAAAAATAATAATAATTAATTAAGATATTAAATAAAGTACCTCAACCATTATAGCTTGATAATCATCATTTGTGATTATAATTATTTTAGAAGAAAATCTGGGATAAAGGATGATTATATAGGGTGACATTGTTCATCCAAAAATTCCTTTACCAATTTTACTATTTCTAAATTTAGTGGTTTCAGTATTTGTCTCTCCATTGAGTTTTTTACACCCTATATACACATATCTACTTGAAATTTCACCTTGGTAGCTTCACCAAGGCCAACATGGCAAAGCACTGTGAAATATGATAAGCACAGTGAAAGAACCAGAGTTACGAACTTCTCAGCTCACAAAGATAAATGAGATGTGATACCAGTTCCTAGGACACCAACAGCCACAGAAAGGAACTAAAACAGCTGCACAGTCAGCCACTATCTATATAATTCTGGACAGAAAGTGATTTGTATTTTGAAAGAGGTATAATAAAAATCAAATTGGAGTTCCTCTGCACTGTTAGTAAATTGAGGCAGTATGGAGGTTCCTTAAAAACTAAAAATAGAGCTAGTATATGACCCAGCAATCCCATTCCTGGGAATATATCTGGGGAAAATCATAATTTGAAAAGATACATGCACCCCAATATTCATAGCAGCACTATTAATGATAGTCAAGACATGGAAGCAATCTAAATGTCTATTGGCATTGGAATATTACTCAGCCATTAAAAAGAATGAAACAATGCCATTTGCAGCAATGTGGGTGGACCTGGAGATTGTCATACTGAATGAAGTAAGTCAGGGAAGGAGAAATATTGTACAACATCCCTTATATGTGTGCATGCTCAGTTGCTTCAGTCATGTCTGATTCTTGGTGACTCCATGGACTGTAGCCCGCCAGGCTCCTCTGTCATGGGACTCTCCAGGCAAGAATACTGGAGTGGGTTGCCATGCCCTCCTTCAGGGGATCTTCCCACCCCAGGGATCAAATCTGCATCTCCTTTGTCTCCTGCATTGCAGAGGGATTCTTTACCCAATGAGCCACCTAGGAATTCCACACATGTAAAATCTAAAAAGAAACAGTACAAATGAACTTATTTATAAAACAGACTTACAGACTTAAGAGAACAAACTTAATAGTTGCCAGGGGGGGAGGATGGGAGGAAGAGATAGTTGGGGAGTTTGGGATGGACATGTACACACTGCTATATTTTAAATGGATAACCAACAAAGATCTACTGTATATAACACATGGAAATCTGCTCAGTGGTATGTGGGAGCCTGGATGGGAGAGGAGTTTGGAAGAGAATGGAAACCTGTATATGTATGGTTGAGCCCCTTTGCCTTTTACCTGAAACTATCACAACATTGTTAATCATCTGTACCCTAATACAAAATAAAAAGTTAAAAAAAAAAGATGTTGTACATATATACAAGGGAACATTACCCAGCTATAAAAAAGAATGAAATAAAGCCATTTGCAGCAACATGGATAGATCTAATCATACTAAGTGAAGTAAGTTACAAAGAGAAAGACAAATGTTATATGATATCACTTATATGTGGAATCTAAAATATGACACAAAGGAACTTATTTATAAAACAGAAACAAACTACCAGACATAGAAAAAAAAAAAACCTATGGTTACCAAAGGGGAAAGGGAGTGGGAGAGGAATAAACTGGGAATTTGGGACTAGCAGATACAAGCTAATATACATAAAATAGGTAGGCAATAAGGTCTTACTGTATAGCACAGGTAACTATACTCAATATCCTATAATAAGCCATAATGGAAAAGAACATTAAAAAGAATATGTGTGTGTGTGTGTGTGTGTGTGTGTAACTGAATCACTTTTCTGTACACCAGAAAATAACATGACACTAAATAAACTACATTTTAAAATATATAAATAAGGGAGTTCCTAAGATGGGTAAGTTCATTTTCCAAAACAAACTTAACAATAAAAATGACAATAGCTAACATATATTGAGACTTACTACCCATCATGTAGTGCTTCCCTGGTGGCAGTAAAGAATCCACCTGCCAGTGCAGGAGCCACAGGAGACACGGGTTCAATCCCTGAGTGGGGAAGATGCTCTGGAGAAGGAAATGGCAACCCACTCCAGCATTCTTGCCTGGGAAATCCCACGGACAGGGAGCCTGGTGGGCTACAACCCATGAGGTAGCAAGAGAGTTCGACATGACTTAGCGACTAAACAACAACCCATCCTATACCATGACTTGCATGTATTATCTTATTTATTTCTTGTAATAAGAAAATGAGTTGTTTAACAATAATAGTTGTTTCTATTATTATCCCCATTTTATGGAGGAAGAAAACAGATAGTCTTTTGAACTAGGCACTGATCAGAAGACATTCTTTTTCCATGCAGACAGAATTTGGGGGAAAAGTAAGCCCTCACATGGTCTGCAACTGTGCTGTCCCAAATGGCAGCCCAGGCCACATGTGGTTATCAAACATTTGAAATGTGACTAGTCTTAATAAAGATGTGCTGTAAGTGCAATACACACACCACATTTTGAAGATTTAGAACCAAAAAAAAGAATATAACATATCTCATTAAGTGGTTTTTGGTTTTGATGTGGATCATTTTTAAAGTCTTTATTGAATTCGTTACAATATTGTTTATATATTATGTTTTGGTCCAGAGTCATGTGGGGAGTCAGGTGGGATCTTAGAGGAAGCTAAAGAAACCCCCAGCGCCTGCACTGAAAGGCAAAATCTTAACCCCTGAACTACCAGGGAAGTCCCTCATTAAGTGTTTTATATTGATTAGATATTAAATTCGTAAAAATTTTGATAGATTTTATTAAATAACATATATTATAAAATAATTTCATTTTTTTTACTTTTTTGTTTCTGAAGTTTTTAATGTAGCTACTAGAAAATGTTAAATTACATATATATCTTGCATAATATTTCTATTAAACAGCACTGGTTTAGAGTGCTGGTAAAGGAAGAAATTACGGATCAAAAAATAAATAAACAACCTCAACAACAATCTTTTATGGCAGTGACCAGGAACTGAAGGCCAGATACAAGGAAGTAAAAGGTGTTACCTTATACTTAAAAAAAAAAAAATTCTCTTGGGAAGATAATAAAAGGAAACAAAAACAAAAGTACTTCCTCTGGGCCTGGAATCAGTGACAAAGTAGCAATAAGTACACCCAGCAGCATCTTGGTTTCTAATATCACTGCCCTTGGAGAAATGGCAGGAGCCGAGACTATTCAGGATGAGCTGCAACAGCTTGTAATACCAGAAACTAAGGTAGTGCCCAAAAAATACACAACAGGGACATATAAAAGGGATACAGGAGCCGACTGAAAGGACCACTCAATTACCAAAGCTGGAACAATCTGAGCAATAAAATGAATAACAGAGCGTTGGATTATAACCCAAAGGATAAAAAACCATGAGTCCACATTAATATAAATAAATGATTGAATAAATAAATATATGGGGGTGGGGAGCGATAGATTGGGAGTCTGGGACTGACATGTACACGCTGTTTTATTTAAAACAGATAACCATGGGAGTTACCTGGCGGTCCACTGATTAGGACTCCTCCCTTTCACTGCCTTGGCCCAAGTTCAATCCCTGGGTGGGGAACTAAGATTCCACCAGCAGCGCAACGCAGCTTAAAAAAAAAAAAGTCAACAAGGTCTTACTGTCTAGCACAGGGAACTCTCCCCAGTACACTAGAATAACCTAAATGGGGAAAGAATTTGAAAAAGAATGGTGCATGTACATGTATAACCGAATCACTCTGCTGAACACCTGAAACTAACTCAACATTGTCAATCAACAACACTCCAATGTAAAATAAAAAATTCTAATAAATTAAATGAGCCTCAAATTTTAAATATATGTATACATAAAATAAACAAACAGGGGGGGACAGACACATTTCCGATACAAAAGAATTCTGTCCCTCAAAGAGATGAAGCATAAAGTCCCTACCCTTCAAGTACAGGCTGCACATACTGAGAGAAAGGATGGAATGGGAGGGGAAAAAAGAGGCATTTGACACAAGGAAAAAACCTGACAAACACCACCTCAAGCATGTGATGAAGTGTAACACCACCAGTGATAACCATTAATGATAAGCTATGCTGACAGCACATTCTCTTGAAATTATGTGATGACGATGGCACTTAACTCTGTGGTTTTTCTTCAAAACCCGTAACTCCAGTTTAACTACAATAAAAGCATCCAACAAACCCAAATTGAAAGCCTTTCTACAAATTCTACCAGTACTCAACAAAACTTTCAAGGTCAGCATAAACAAGGAAAATCTGAGAAACTGTCAGTCTAGAGGAGTCCCATGAGATACAATGATTAAATATAGTGTGGCATTCTGGATGGAATCCTAGGACAGAACAAGAATATTAGGTAAAAGCTAAATAAATCTGAATATAAAGTATGAATTTCCATTAACAACAACCTAACAATGGCTAATTGGTTGTTATCAATGTATCATACCAACGTAAGATATCAGCTATACTTCAAACAAGACAAATGGTATGCAAAACTCTCCGGATTAGCTCCACAACTTTTCTTTAAACTTAAAACTTCTAAAATAAAAGAGGTAGGTTTTTGTTGTTGTTGTTGTTGTTTTAAGGACCTCTTGTGGTTTGAAAACTTTCAAGTTTTTGTTGGAATCTTTCTGGTTCAAATCCTTTATAACCTTGCTATTCAAAGTGTAGCCACCTGTGAACTTCCTAACACTACAAAATTCTGACAGGCCAGAATCCACCTCAGAGAGTTTTAAATCTACATAATTTCAGACACTAGGTCTGATTTGTACTAGTTTTAACGTGATAACCTTCCCAGCCATTACCCAAGCAGAGGTTAAGAATTCCTTCAGTAATTGCCACCCTCCCCTCTGGACAAAGATGACCCCACTCATTTGTTACCACGTGGACCTCACCAAGCGCCTGACCTGGCTGATTCAACTTATGGCTTGTGAGTTTCTTCCCCGCTACAAGGTCATCTACTATGCCTTTATATCTAATCAATCTCCAGTTCCCAGGATTACTGCCGGTGGTCACACACCCCAAGGCAAGATAGTGCATTTTCCTAGCGCTTCTCCCTTAGAGTCAGCAAATGTCAGGAAAACCTGTTCGAATTAGACCTGTGGAGATGTAAGTCAGATGATTGCATAGGGTGAACCATAGGAAACTGCTGATAACTGGGTATTTTGACTGCAAAGTAGGCAATTACACAGGAATGAATGTTTCTATTGCCTGTTTTCCACCTTAAAAGCTATCCTAGGGACAATATGCTGTCAAGGGCAGAGAGTACTGGGGTTGCTAATATCCGCTAATATCCATGGCAATTTTCCCTTATGGCTCAGCTGGTAAAGAACCCGCCTGCAGTGCGGGAGACCTGGGTTCGATCCCTGGGTTGGGAAGACCCCCTGGAGCAGGAAATGGCTACTTACTCCAGTATTCTGGCCTGGAGAATTCCATGGACTGGATAGTCCAAGGGGTCGCATAGAGTCGGACACGACTGAGCGACTTTCACTTTCATGGCTACTGCTGCTGCTGCTAAGTCGCTTCAGTCGTGTCCGACTCTGCGACCCCATAGACGGCAGCCCACCAGGCTCCGCCGTCCCTGGGATTCTCCAGGCAAGAACACTGGAGTGTGTTGCCATTTCCTTCTCCAACGCATGAATCACTTTCATGGCAAATTACTACTATAACTGAACGTCATCCACTCCACGTTCTCCCCTAAATGATGCACGATTTAAACCCCTGTCTTCCGCCTCAAAGTTCCCAGTCTCCGCTGCTCTCTGAGCTTTACCAGGGAGCGCAAGGGAGGGTAACACTAGTCTTTAGAACACAAACGACCCAGCGGGCCTACAGCTGGCGGGCTCGACAACTCGGCACCCGCCGCCCCTCAGCAAGCCAGGCCTCCGGAACCCGGCCGTCCCCGCCCCACCGGACGCCAAGAGGCCCGGCCTCAAGATGGCGGCGGGGGCGGAGCCTGCGCGGCCGCCCCGGGGCGGAGCCTTTGACCGACGTGGCCGGGGGCGGGGTCAGACTGGGGGCGGTGCCAGCGGCCCAGCTCAGCCTGGCCGCCTCGGCCCGGGGGCGGGGGGCTTCGGCGGTCCTGCTGGAGCTCTCTTTTCCGCGAGACAGGTTTGCGCCGTCGCTCCCTGGAGACGTCATGAAGTCCCCGGTTTCGGACTTGGCCCCGAGCGACGGCGAGGAGGGCTCGGACCGCACACCGCTCCTGCAGCGCTCCCCGCAGGCGGAAACCGGTGAGTGGCGGCGCTATCCAGGGGGGCTTCGGGAGGGTGGCGGTCCCAAGGTGGAGGGGTCCAGAGCCGCTCAAGCCCTCGGAGGCTGAGATCGGGGAGCCGATGAGGGCCCCCTTCAAGCCTCCGTCTTCTCGGATGCCCAGAAGCCCGCTGCCGGGCCCGGGAGGCGAGCAGAGCCGGGAGGCCGGGGCCGGGCGGAGGCTCCGGCGGGACCTCGGCAGGTGCAGCCCCGGGGGCCTCGGCAGGTGCAGCCGGCGGGCTCGGGCGAGGACCTGCTGGGCGCCGCGGGCGCAGGGCGCCGGGCGACCTTCCGTAGTATTGAGCTGGGGACCCTGTGGAAGAACGAACTGGGGGAGAGAACCTTGAAATGAATGGGCGAGGGCGGAGCGGAGGACCCCGAGGAAAAAAGCTCCCTGGGGAAACCTGCAATTGAAAGCTGGAGGGCGGGACGGAGATGCGGACTCTTCCTCCTTGTCACTGCCAGCTTGCCACAGCTGCTGGTCCTCCAGCATGTGATCTGGTAGCTAGCTCCTTGGGCGTGGAGACAAAAAAAAAAAAAAAAGGGACTGGGGTTAACTTTGTTGCGTATGCGGAGGGAAATTATTGGATAACTCAGCGAATATCTTGAAATTGTGCAGTAAAAGTTACGGCATACGGTCCCCCCCACCCCCCGGCCCCGGTATAGTTAGTTGTCTACGAAGAAGTCGTAGCAGTCTAATAAGTTAGGAAACGGGTAGGCTATCCATAGATAGGCTCAAGATAGGCTATCCACAGAGCGCTAAGGTAATTTGTCCAAAGCCTTGCAGCAAATAGAAAAGGATGTATAATACTTCACAACGCATCTTCCCTGAATTTGGGAAAATTAAAATATTTTGCTATCATGCTTCTTTAAAAGAAATCAAAACTAAAGAATAAACCGCTTTGCATGCATTCTGTAGTTTCAAAGATGTATGCTTGAGAAAGAGAGCTGAATTAGAAATTTAACTTTTCTTGACCAAAAGCAGTATAACCTTTTAAGTTTGTTTTTAACTATTACCAGATGGTGGCAGTAGGTAGCAATATTATAGCTCCATCTGGCAACTAGGTGTTTATTTTTGTGGACATTCAGGGTAAGCACTGTGCCATAGTGGCCTTTTATCTGGAAGTCGGACTTAGTTCCATAAACTGATCTTTTTTCATGACATATGAATTAGATTTCTATAATCCTCTTCTCTGAAATAATCTAGTGCGGAAACACAGAAATAAATGCCGTCATAAAGATATTCTCTAGAAACTACTATATTCTATTGCAGTTGGGAAATATATATATATATATATATATAATCAAATTTTAGCTCAGATGTTAAACAGAGTAGTTGTCAGGAAATGCAGATTAAAACCGCAATGAGCCATTACACGCTTACTAAAATAGCTAAAATTAAAATGGCCAAAGATACCAAATACTGGCAAACTTATGTTATAACTAGAACTCATATTTTGCTGGTAAGAGTGTAAAATGGTACAAGTACTTTGGAAAACTGGCAGTCTATTAATATTTTAAAGGTAAATATGCATGACCATAGTACCACATAATGTTTATAGCAGCTTTAATTCATAATATCCATAGTTAAAAACTGGAAACAACCTATCCATCAATCCATCAACAAATGACTGGATAAACAAATTGGGGTATATTCACACATACTCAGTGACAAAAAGTAACTACTGACACACGTGATGTGGCTAAATCCCAGGCACAAAGGAAACCACCATGTTAATGTAGCTTTCGGTCAGTATGAAGTTCTAAACAAGCAAAATTAATCTGTAATAACAGGAAGCAGATCATTGGTTGCATGGAAGCTACAGGCAGGAAGGAGTTGCCTGCAGAGACACTAGGGTACTTTTTGGGGTGATGGAAAAATTCTGCCTCTTGACTAGGGATCACAGATATATACATCTGTCAAAATTCACCAAATTGTACACTTGAAATGGGAGCATTTTATTGTGTGTCAAATATACCTCAATAAAGTAGATTAAAAAAGAAAATTTTCATTCCTTTTGGGAAAATGGAATGAGATGGAAATGAAATTTGAAAACAGTCCCTCCTTGATTCATGGGTTGAGTGTTCTTGTATAGATCTTAGCCCTGTTCCTCATGCCTTGAGGTGGCTGTCTTTATTATAACCATTTCCCCTCTTATTTTTACTCTATACATTACCTACAGGAGAGGAAAAGAAGATAAAAATAGCAGCAACACATTGTTATTTTTTGCTACTTAAAATGTAAGGGTTTTAGAAAAAAGTTACAAGGTTGTTGCATTAGTCAACAATATTTTAAATTAAGCTCTGTGCCTGGTGTGCTATGACAAAGACAAGAGAGGACCAGTGGGAAAGACAAAGGTGGGTATAACAGCTTTATAAGAGGCACCAGGGGTTACCTCCTCTTCTCGCTCCGTAGTGCCCTGGTCCTAGCTTCTGTGCATCTAATAGGAGAAACAAGATGACTATTAGTTATATTTTTATTTAAACTATGTTCTGTATGTTTACTTTGCATATTTCACACATTGTAGGTGTTTAAAAAAAAAAAACTTTCCGCCCCAAATTAGCTTTTTAGTGGTGCCTGAAGGAGTAAATCTTCAGCTGACCTTAAAATCTCTCTTTCTGTATGTTTATATATGTTTTGGCCTTCCCTGGTAGCTCAGTGGGTAAAGAATCTGCCTGCAATGCAGGAGACCCCGGTTCGATTCCTGGATTGGGAAGATCCCTTAGAGAAAGGATAGGCTACCCACTCCAGTATTCTTGGTCTTCTTTGGTAGCTCAGCTGGTAAAGACTCTACCTGCAATGCAGGAGACCCTGGTTCGATTCCTGGGTCGGGAAGATCCCCTGGAAAAGGGATAGGCTCCCCACTCCAGTATTCCTGGACTTCCCTGGTGGCTCAGATGGTAAAGAATCCACCCACAATGAGGGAGACCTGGGTTTGATCCCTGGGTTGAGAAGATTCCCTGGAGGAGGGCATGGCAACCCTCTCTGGTATTCTTGCCTGGGGAGGCCCTGTGGACAGAGGAGCCTGGTGAGCTACAGTCCATGGGGTCACAGAGAGTCCAACACGACTGAGCATAGTGTGTATGTTTCACTTGTCATTTATGTTTGCTTTGGAACAAGCCCATATGAAACTAGCAGTATCTTCTCTACACCAATGTGTATAGTTTTGTTTATCAGAAGAGATAACAAAAGCTGATAAAATGTTAGTTATAACGTTATACAGCAGTTAAAACACCTTAGAGGCTAAACTACCATCTGGTGGGCATCATTTTATATATAAACAACCAAGAGCCAAAGAGATTAAGTTCCCAAAGATTGCTGTATCTGTGTTAAAGTCTAACCAGAGTTCTAGATTTTAGTCCCATCCTCCTTCCTTGTCACAACACTGCCACATTTGTATAACATTTGAGAAATTCCTATTTGCAAAATGCTGACTCATTTTTGTTGACTTCACAAATTTGAAAGATCAGCACTCCATCATGGATAAGAGGACATGGTTTTGTTTTATAGGTAGTGCTTTTTTATTAAGAGAGCTAAAATTAAGGTATATTTCTATAGTTCTAAAGAACCTCTCAGGTTGACAGAATATGACAGAATTCTCGGTAATCTGACTGGTTTGCCTTTCAAGCATTTTGTTTTTACATAGCCAGCTAGATTTCAGAGATGAACACCAAAGTAATGGGAGACATTGTGTTGCTGCAGATGTCACTGTTTCATTCTTTTCTCTGGCTGAGTGATATTCCATTGTATATGTGTATCACACCTTCTTTATCCATTCCTCTGTTGATGAATATTTAGGTTGCTTGAATGTCCTGGACACTGTATACAGTGTTGCAATGAACACTGAGGGTGCATGTATCTTTTTGAATTATGATTTTCCCCAGATAATATGCCCAGGAGTAGGAATGTTGGATCATATGGTAGCTCTATTTTTAGTTTTTTAAGGAATCTCCGTACTGTTCTCCATAGTGACTGTATCAATTTACATTCCCACTAACAGTGTAAGAGGGTTCCATTTTCTCCACACCCTCCCCAGCATTTATTGTTTACAAAACTTTTGGATGACGGCCATTCTGACTGGTATGAGGTTTGTAGTTTTGATTTGCATTTCGCTAATAATTAGTGATGTTAAACATCTTCTCATGTGCTTTTTAGTCATCTGTATGTCTCCTTCAGAGAAATGTCTGTTTAGGTCTTCTGCTCATTTTTTATTTGTCTTTTGTTTTTCTGAGCTGCATGAGCTGTTCGTGTATTTTAAAGATTAATCCCTTATTGGTTGCTTCATTTCCAGATCTTTTCTCCCATTTTGAGGGTTGTCTTTTCATTTTGGTTATGATTTCCTTTGTCATGCAGAAGCGTTTAAGTTTAGTTAGGTCCCGTTTGTTTATTTTTGGTTTTTATTTCCATTTACTCTAGGAAGTGTATCAAAAAAGATCTTGCTGAAATTTATGTCAAAGAATGTTCTGCCCATGTTTTCCTCTAAGAGTTGTATAGTGTCCAGTCTTACATTTAAGCCTTCAGTCCATTTTGAATTTGCTTTTGTGTGTGGTGTTCAGGAGTGTAATAATTTCATTCTTCTGCATGTAGTTGTCCAGTTTTCCCAGCACCACTTATTGAAGAGACTATCTTTCTCCACTGTGGATTCTTGCTTCCTTTGTCACAGAGTAGGTGAACGTAGGTGCCTAGGTTTATCTCTACTTTCTATCCTGTTCCATTGGTCTATATTTCTGTTTTTCTGCCAGTCCCATACTGTCTTGAATACTGTAGCTTTGTATTCTAAAGTCAGGGAGCCTGATTCCTCTAATCTAGAGATTGTCACAGTGAGTGAAGTAAGCCAGGTAGAGAAAGACAGATATCATATTATATCGCTTATATGTGGAATCTAAAAAAGGGGGATACAAAGGAACTTATATACAAAACAGAAATAGAGATATAGATGAGGAAAACAAACTTACGGTTACCAAGAGGTAAGGAGGGAGG